AATTGCAGCTCTGCCCACCCCACATCCTGTTTTAGAATACACATTCGGGTGCTGATGCCTTGACCTGCCCAAACTATTGTCGGTTCCTTTATCCCTGAGTGATCGTTCCTTTATCCATGGTCTCACCGGCTCAGCCCATCACCCCGCTACTTTTGAGCTAACCAGTGGGACTTGTATTTTCACATGGTTGGACTCACACATCCCCCATAGAATCTACCCCCGGACCTGGTTCTCTTACGTGTGTTGGTTAGTGTCTTGACCCTGCCAAGTGTGACCATCCCCTGTTCTACCATTTAGTCAGGTACTGGTACCTAACCCTGCCAGACAAGCCCCCAGCCATAGTTTTCATGTGGACTGGTGTGTGGCAGTCAGTGATGCTCTATGCTAACAGCTCATTCCATGACTCCCATGTGGGTTGGTAAATCATTTTGGCCCAAATAGATCTTATGGCCTCTCCCCTGCAAACCACCAGGTCTCAGTCCCTATGCTTGCCAGAAAGTTCTGTGACCCCATTGCTGGAAGTCACACAGGATTCATCCCTCACCTAAACTTACATTGGCCTTATCCATAGATGACCCTAGGTAGCAATTACATACCTTAAAAACCCTAGAGCTCTCTGCCAGGTGGCCAGTAGGCAGAACCCAAAGCCTAGGACTCTGTCACTATGTGGTGATGGTGCCCTTGGGCCGAGTCCTGAGCATTGGGTCTGACCTGGCTCGGGTACTCTCCACTAGCAGGTTGCCACCTCTGAAGAGGGCTGCTATCACCTGAGCCACCATGGTCGAACTCCCACCCCCTAGCTTTCTTCTGCCACGTGGTGGTAGCTGCAGGGTGGGGCTAGAAGCCCAATCCTGTCGCAGGATTGCCTATGCCGTACTCATCATTGGGGTAGAAATTTCTCTCTCCGGCATCCCAGCAGCCCAGACTCTCACATTGTGTGGTGACAGTGCCCATGGGCCAAGTCCCGGGCATTGAATCCTACCTGGTTCCGGTACTCTCCACAATTGGGTCGCCACCACTGCGTAGGGCTGCTGTCGCCTGAGCCACCAAGGTCGAATTCCGTACACCACTTCTGAATATTTATCTTGTAAATAATTGTTAAAAATAATGCATTTTCTAGCACTTAATATGAAAACCCATAGAATATGGCCAGATATCTTCCTAATTCTAAAAATTTCATTTTTCAAAGAGGAAAAAATGAGGTATATGTATATTAAGATACTTTTTACCTTAAAAATTGCACAAAGAATTATATACCAACTTAAGAGATATATAAATAAAGTAAGTAAGTGAGCTAGAAAGCCACTTGTTGATTTTAGACTTTTCCACATGGACTACATAAGGGCAACATCATATTGTATTGTAATTTATATAGCTTATGTATGTATATACAAGGAAGGGATCAAATAAATCATCTCTTTTGTTTAGTACTGTTTACTTCAGTGTCTTTAACAGGATGTTATGTAGCTTGTTTGATAATGATTTACTGTATTCTTGGCTACTGAGGTGGAAAAATACATTGATGGGTTTGATTATCAGTGTCTTGGTCCAGCTTAAGAAATGTGGTAGCTTAACTGATGTGATCCTTATGGTGGCTTTGAGGCCATCATTTTCAAGTATTCATATTCTGTTAGAAAGTTTTATTAATCAGATGTTATTTTACAATGGTATTATGGTTTTTGCAGGCTGAGTTGATTATGGATTTTGACAGAGGGATTTTTTTTTAAGATTTATTTTATTTTATTGGAAAGGCAGATGTATAGAGAGGAGGAGATACAGAGAGGAAGATCTTCTGTCCCATGATTCACTCCCCAAGTGGCTGCAATGGCCGGTGCTGCACCTATCTGAAGCCAGGAGCCAGGAGCCAGGAACTTCTTCCTGGTTCTCCCACGCGGTGCAGGGTTCCAAGGCTTTGGGCCGTCCTTGACTGCTTTCCCAGGCAACCAGCAGGGAGCTGGATGGGAAGCGGGGCTGCCGGGCTTAGAACCGGCACCCACATAGGATCCCGGTGCATTCAATGTATGTTCAATGTGAGGACTAACCATTACGCTATTGTGCCCACATGGGATCCCAGCGTGTTCATTGTGATGATTTTAACCATTATGCTATAGCACCAGGCCCAACACAAGGATTTTATTTCTTTGTTTTTGTGTGTATGAAGTTGGTTGTTAACTGTTATAAATTATGTGTTGGATGCTTTCAAAGTACTAATCAGAAAGCATTGCATTCAAAATAATTAATTCTAAAGTATAAAATTATTTTATGAGTAATACAACCTAAATTCCTTTTAGGATTTTTGTTTGGCCCAGCATATCAATGTTTATGTTTTTTTTTTTTTTTTTTGGAACAGAGTATGACTAGTTGGTAATTTGTCTTCCAATTCACATGTGTGCACATGTTAAAGAACCATACAATTAGATAGGTGTTATAAATAGGATATGGGAAAAAAGACAGACCTACTCATGTTTCTAGGATTTCATAGCTGATGCCCAGTAGAGCTTTTCTACTCTTTAATTTTGCTTTTTGGGCTAACCAGCTGACGCCCAGTTGAAAAGACTTATGTTCTTATGAGGCCACAAAAGCCTTAATGTTCGTTCTGTAGCAACCTCAGATTTTGGAGAACGCTGTGTACCATCAGCAGCTTCAGTCTCCACCCTCTAACGCTAAGGCTCATCTATCAAACTTGAGGCTGAGAGTGAGGGAGAGGAAGCTTCCAGATAAACATACAGCAGCGCCTAAACAGCTAATCACTCTAGTCTTCCGCTTCCAGGCCCTATAATTAGAAGCCCTTCTTTTCCTTGTATTCCCAGATGACGCAAATGCTTTTTGTGGCTTGGCACCTCATTTGGGGCGTGGGTTTAGTTTATGGCCAGGCCAAAGTCTGGTTTAGTCTTCTGATGCTGCATAAATAGTTCTCAAGCCACAGTCTACTTTGTATGAGTTTTTCCTTTTATGTATATGTGCTTTTAAACTTGTTTTGCAAAAGAAGAAGAAAAGCTTACTATTTTGTTGCAGTGTGTGTACAAAGCAGGAAATTGTGAATTAAAAGAAGTCACATGATTATGTAGTCCAACACTAGCCATTTCTTTCTTACCTTGGAGCTTTTTGCATTTTAAAAATAATTTTATATTGTTTGTATAAAGTGTAAACTCATTGGTATTTCTTGGATTTCAGAGCAAGGAAAATTACCATAGTTAAAGTGGGACAAAAAGGGTTAATTCATGATGCACTAATGGTTAAAAAGAGCTAACTTTTAGGAAGCTGATATAGAATAAATGTTAATGCAATCTTACTTGGCAGTTTAACTCCTATTCAGTAATAGAAGAAATAAGTAGTTAATAGAGATGTTGGAGACCAAAGGAAAATCAGCTGGAATTGCCATTTTAGCTCATTCCAGGTATGTAGGTATATATGGAACAGTTTTCAAGGTATCATCTTCTGAGCCTAAAACGAACTTTAAAAAGTTAGAAATAGTTTTTGTCAAAATGAAACATAGGGAAAGAAACCCAATTAGTTCAAAATTAAGTAACATAGCTTTTTATAACCTGTGATTGAAAGAGGTGGGAGACTTGAAAGAGGCTTTTGGCTCCTGGCTTCAGCCAGCCCAGCCCTGGCTGTTATGACTTTGGAGAGTGAACCAGCAAAAGGAAGAGATCTCTGTGTCTCCCTCCCTGCCTTCCCCCTTCTCTCTCTCTCTGTAATTCCTTCAAATAAATAAATATTCAATAAAAAAAGAAATTTGTATAAAGGAAGAACAAATAACTTGAAATATGGAGAATAAGGGAAATAATAAATTTGGCAGCTTAAAGAAATGAAATTAAAGAGATCATTAAACCAAAATTGGTTACCTGGGAAAGTCTTAGGGAAAAAAAAAAAGAGACACAAACTACTAATATCCTGAAATAAAAAGTAGCTATCACTAAAAGCCACATAGAAATAATCCACATGTTTGCAGCTGGGAATTAGGAACTCAGTCAAGTCACATATGTGATACCAGTAACCCAGTGGTTTGAGCCATCACTGTTGCCTCCTTTGGTATGTATTAGAACGGAGGTGGAATCAGGTACTCTGATGTTTGACATGAATGTAATTTTCAAAAGGATTTATTTATATAAAAAAGATTTATCTTTATTTATTTCAAAGGCAGAGTTAGAGAGAGGGAGAGAAGGGAAAGACAGTGGTCTTCTAGCCCATGTTTGCATCCTCAGATGGCTGCAATGACTAAGACTGGGTCAGGAGGAAGACAAGAGCTAAGAGCTTCATCTGGGTTTCCTACATATAGGTGCCCAAGCTGTGGGGACCACTTCTGCATGCACTCAGGTGCATTTAGGGAGCTTGTATTGGAAGTTGAAGAATCAGGACATGTGATATTGGCCTTTCAGGTTGTAGCCTAACCTGATATGCCACAATACCAGCTCCAAGATGGGTGTAAGGAAACAGCATGCAGAAATAAAAAAATGCAAAAACTATAAAAACAACACCTCTCTACTACCAATGACTAGAATTTGAAAAATTCAGAAAAAGTCAATTTTATTTGAATATAGCAGGGAGGAGATGGTAGTATTTCAAGGCAAAGATGTGTATGATGGTTATGATGCTAGCAGAGACAAGCATATGCTGTGTCAGAGTGCTTAGGTTTGAGTTCAAACTCTTTTTCCCATCCAGTTTCTTGGTAATGCACACAGCAACAGGTAATGGCTCAAAGAGTTGGGTTCTAACATGGGAGACTCAAACTGTTATCTCATATTTTTTGTTCTTAAAAATACTCTGGCAATGTCCTGATATCTGTATATTTATTGTTTATATATTGCTGTTTTTATGGTTTAGCAGTAAGATTGATATTCACATGAAAAGTATGTTTTAATTTTGCTTTTTGAGAAGTTTTAAATGTATCTTAAAATTTTTTCCTTTGTGGATCTCGTGAGTAGCTTTTGAAGATTTCCTCCATTATACATGGTCATTTTTATTTTTAAACTTTTTTTTGTGTGTGTGTATTACAGGAATGCTTCTAGTCACAACAGATACCCTTGGCCATGACTTTCATGTCTTCCAAATTTTAACTCACCCGTGGTCCTCATCACAAAGTGCTGTGCACCATCTTTACACACTTCACAGGGGAGAGACTGAAGCCAAAGTAAGTTGTTCATGTTTCAGAAGGTGATTCATTTTGGGGATCTGACAACTACTCTAGCTGATCATTTGCATCACAGTGGAGTTTAATGTTAACATTAATGAAAAAAATGTGAGTAATGCTTTCTTTTTTTTTCTTAAGATCTATTTATTTATTTATTTATTGGATTTATTTATTGGAAAGGCAGATTTTACAGAGAGGAGAGACAGAGAAAAAGATATCTGACCCCTGGTTCACTTCCCAAGTGTGCCCAACAGCTGGAGCTGAGCTGATCTGAACCCAGAACCCAAGAGCTTCTTCTGGATCTCCCACACAAGGGCAGGGTCCCAAGGTTTGGGGCCATTGTCTACTGCTTTCCCAGGCCACAAGCAGGGAGCTGGATGGAAAGTGGAGCAGCTGGGACACAAATCTACGTGCCCATATGGAATCCCGGTAGTTGCAAGGCGAGGATTTAGCCATTCAGCCATTGTGCCGGTTCTGAGTAATGCTTTCTGTGATGTAGTAGGTTAGGTAATACTAAGAGGCAGTATTTCATTTCGATTCAATAAAGACGTAGGAGGTAGAAAAAAGTCTTGGTGTTTAAATGTTCAGTTACTTTTGGTGGAACAGTAGTGTGCTTAGAATTGTCATTCTACTCCCCCCACCTTTGTTGTTGTTGTTTTTGTTGCAGAGAAAAGTCCTATAATTTTAAAAAAAAATTTCTTTACTTATTTGAATAGCAGAGGTAGTAGTTATGGTGGTCCACCTGGTTTAGGTCCTACTTAGGATGTCTGCTTCCTTGGGGTTAGGGTGCTGATTTGAGTCTCCTCTGGTCTTTGTTTCTGATCCAGTTTCCTGCTAATGCACATGGGAGAAAATGGGGAATAACCTAAGTATGTCAGTTCCTGCTTCCCATCTAAAAGACCTGTGCAGAGTTCCTAGTGCCTAACTGTAGCTGGACACAGCTGTTGTGGGCATTTAGTAAGCGTCAGTCTACTTGTTTATCTCTTTCCTTCTCTGTTCTTCTTCCTTTCAAATGAGTAAATTAATCTTTAGGAGAAAAAATATTGTCTTTCATCTGCTGTCTTACTAACCATATATCCTTGACTGTCAGGATTGTGTCAGGAGTTGCAATCTCAATTGAGGTCTTTTCATGTGGGTGGAAGGGCACAGCAACTTTTTGTCTCCCAGGGTGTGTGTTGGTAATACTTTGACACAGGATCGAGACCTAGGGCTAAAGCTGAGGCCCTCTGGAGTGGAATGTAGACAGACTTGCTAAGCAGTATCTTAAGCATCAAGTCAAATGCCTTTGCCTAATATTAACACATTTAAGAATTACAGGCCATTGTAAAATGTACCTCACATTTTTTGTCAAACTAAGTTTATTCATCTTGGCAAGAATATCACAGAGGCCATGCTGATGCTTCTTGTTGCATCAGGTGGTATGTGATTTTGCTTTGTGCTATTACTGATGATGATCAATTTAACTACCTGACTGTGAGCTTTTTTCACTGTGAAGTTACTCTTTTATACAGAATAAGATTTTATGTAGAGGTGTTTCCAAACTAAATTCTTATTCCTTTTCTGACCTTCTGATTGTTTTATTTTGGCCTCCTAAATTCCTGTGTTATTTGATGAATTGTATATATATCTAGTTGTATTGATTTTCATGTAAAAATATTTCCAAATTTAGAGTCTTAATTTGGTATAACCTCCATGTGCCATTATTCTGTGAACATTCTGTATTTCCTTAATAAATACTAAGTGGTATATTCTTAAGATTAGTTAGCATTTGGTTTTGTTGGTTTTGTTTGGATATTTAGAATCAGACAAGCTTTTTAGGTAAGGATTCAATGTTCCAGTATTCCATGAACAAATTTTATTTTCATTTGTTTACATAAAGGTAGTAGATTTCACTTAAGTCATATGTACAGTTTTGAGAATTTATTAATAATTCTGACTATACTCTACTTTCCTCTCTCTACTTTCATTCTCCCTTTACCTTCCTTTCTTATTTCTCTTTTGGTTTTGGCAGTGGCAAATCTTATAATCAAAAGATTAATCCTCTACTAAATAAAGCATTAAATAGTGAGTAGAATGGCAATTGTTTTGAGGAATGTAGGCAAGTGTATAAAAAATAGTCAAGTCTCACGATGTCTGTTTCACTCATATGCATTATATTTTTTGTACCATATCAGTTACCACATATCAGAAATAATACTTGATATTTCTTTTTGGGGGGCTAACTACTTCACTAAGCATGATGGTCTATAATATAATTGTATCCATTTTGTTGCAAAAGACAGGAGTTTTGTACAACTCAGTAGTATTTCTTTGTTCGTTGTGTGTATATACCACGTTGCTTTTATCCAGTCCTCAAGTGATGTGCATCTTGGCTGATACCATATCTTAACTGTTGTGAGTTAAGCTACTATAAAAATGGGAGTACACATAACTCTTTCATATGTTTATTTCATCTTCTTTGAGTCAACCCCAGGATTGGGATGACTGGATCATATGATGAGTGTATTTTCAGATTTCTGAGGGATCTCCATAACTGTCTTCAATATGGTTTTACTAGTTTACATCCCTACTAAGTATTATGGTACCTTTTCCCTTATATCCTTGCTAGCATTTGCTGTTTTTTTTTTTTTTTTGATTGATAACTATGCTGAGCAGGGTGAGGTGAAACCTCATTGTGTTTTTTAGTTACATTTCCCTGATTGCTGGTGATCCTGAGTATCTTTTCATTTGTTGGCCACTTGCTGACCATCCTTTCAAGGTATGCCTATCCATGTCAATGGAATATTTGTTTTGTGGTTGTTGAGTTTTTTAAACTCCTTATGTATTCTAGACATTAATGCTTTGACAGATCTGTAATTTGCAGGGTTTTTTTTTCCTATTCTGTTGGTTGTCTCTTCACTTTGTTGTTTTTCGCTCTGCCGAAGCTTCTTACCCTGAAATAATCTCATTTGACCATTTTTTGCTGTTATTGCTCATGCTGCTGGGCTCTTATCCAAGGAGTTTACCTTTTCCAGAGTCTTGAAGTATCTTCCCTATGTTTTTCTATAGTACTTTGATGATTTTAGATTTTTAGGTTTAGGTTTTTGATCCATTGTGAATTAATTTTTGTGTGGAAAGTACAGTAGGAGTCTTACTTTAAATATCTGTGTGTGAAGATCTAGTTTTCCTGAAACTATTTGTTCAAGAGACTATCCTTTCTCCAGGGAATGATTTTAGCTTGTTTGTAGATGCATGGGTTAATTTCTGGGGTCTTTACTATGTTTCATTGGTTCACATGTCTGTTTTTATGCCAGTACTAGACAGTTTTGTTTATAATTGTCCTTTAATGTATCTAAAGTCTGGTCTTGTGATGCCTCTGGCTTTACTCATTATGCTGCAATAATGACCTTTGTTTTTATTGTTAAAGATTGTTTTAGCTTGTTGCGGTGTTGGGATTTCTATGTTTACATATAAATTTTAAGGTAAGGTCATTTTTTTAAGATCGAGAAAAATGTCCTTAGTATTTTGATTGATATCACATTGAATATAAATTTTGTTGGGCTGTATGGACATTTTGATGATTCTTCCAGCACATGAACATGAAAAAGTTTACCAAATTTTTAATTTTTCCTATTTTTTCCTTAATGTTTCATAATTTTTCTTATAGAAATCCTTTGTCTCCTTGGATTAATTTATCCCAAGATGTTTCCTTTTCTTAGTAGCTATTATGAACAAGATTGATCTTAAAAGTTCTTTGTCAGCCATGGCATTGTTTGTGTATACAAATACTGTTTTGTGTGCTGATCTCATGTTATACAACTCTGCCAAATTATCTTGGGAATCTCTTGGTGGAGTCTTTTGGTTCCCTTTAGTATAGAAACATATCAGCTGTAAACAAGGATAATTTGACTTTTTCCTTTGTGTTCCTTTGACTTCCTTTTCTTTCCTAACAGTTTTGTCTAAAACTTCCAGAAGTATTTTGAATAGTAATGATGAGCTTGGCATCCTTGTCTAGTTCTGGATATCAATGAAAATGCATCCAGCTTTTTCCTATTCAGTATGTTACCTGCTGTGAGTTTGTCATATATTGCCTTGATTATGTTGAGGTATGTTCCTTTTACATCCAGCTTCCTTAAGGTTTTTATCATGAAAATATTAATTTAATTATCTAAAAGTTAGACTTACACAGTTAAAGAAGAGACAGAAAAAGAGAGAGAGAGGTAGAGACAGAATATAGATAGAAATAGAGACACTTGCATCTTCTAGTGCCCTCCCCAGAGTGTGGCAATGACTGGAATTGGGCCAGGCTGATGCCAGAAGTTTGGAGCTTCTTCTGGTCCTTTTGCATGGTTGCAGAAACCCAAGCACTTGGGCTGTCTCCTGCTGCTTTTCCAAGACTATTAGCAGGGGGCTGCATTGGAAGTAGAGCACCTGGGATATGAATTGGTGCCCAAATGAAATGCTGATATTGCAAGCAGTAGCTTTATGTGCTGTATGTCACAGTGCTGACCCGTAATGTATTTTATCAGATGCTTTTTCTGAATCTATTGAGATGTTCACAAATAAAATTTTATACAGCTTGTTAGTGTTATGTATCATGTTTATTCATTTGTGTATGTTGAATCGTCCCTGTATCCCAGTGATAAATCCAACATTTTTTTAATGTGTTGTTGGATCCAGTTAGCTAGTGTTTTGTTGAGGATTTTTGCATCCATGTTCATCAGGATATTCATCTATAGTTCTCTTTGTTTTTTATATCTTTTTCTGGTTTTGGAATTAAGGTTATGCTGTACTCATAGGAGAAATTTGCGAGTATTTATTCCCTTTGAATTTTTTGAATAGTTTAAGACTAAATGGGTCTGATGCAATGGCTCAACCTCTAAATCCTCACCTTGCAACCACTGGCATCCCATATGGGGTGCCGGTTTGTGTCCTGGCTGCTCCACTTCCCCCCCAGCTCCATGCTTTTGGCTTAGGAAAGCAGTGGAAGATGGCCCAAAACCTTGGGACCATGTACCTGC